CGGCGCTTTAACCGGATTCCAAATCAATGGTGCACATGGGCTACAGTATTCTGCGGGAACAAATGGCGTATGAACCAATCGTTGGTCACCGGCTACCATGGGACTGCATCTCCTTACGATGCTCCACTGCCTTGTGGGTTAGACCTTTAAGTCAAAGGCTCGGGGAGTGGCCCCCTAAGAAAATCACCTGATTCGGTTTGGGCACCCGGGCAGTATCACAGCCCACACACAAACGATGAACTCTATGTCTATGGCAACTACTTTTCTCGCTCCGAAAAACAATCAATCGATTCAAATAATTATCATTACTATTATTGTCATTATTAATACTATTATTATTACTATTATTGTCATTATTATTATTATTATTATTATTATTATTATTATTATTATTATTATTATTATTATTTTCCACATTATTCACCCTCTTTTATACTTATACAGCGGCTCGTCTTTGGTGGAAATTCGGCTGTATCTAAACGTTCTCGAGTCACTGTCCGGTTGAAAATTGTATGTTACCACCGAATACAAGGACTGAAGCAGTTTTTCTGAAACCACGTGCACCATTCAAACTGGCTGCCTTCAACGTTCGCACATTTATGCAGGTCGGACAACAGATAGGGCTGGCTATGTCTTTAGAAAGTCTTAATATTGATGTTGGTTGTCTATCCGAGACCCGTATTCAAGACTCTGGCGAAGTACTACGAATTCGATCTCCATCTGTCGCTTCGAAAAGCTTGTTTTACGTGCGCTTATCCGGGGACCCTGTGGCATCTTCGTCTGGTCTTGCTGGCGTTGGTGTCGCACTAAGCGCTAGAGCTGAGGCAGCACTAGTCGATTGGATCCCCATTAACAGTCGGTTATGTGCTGGTTAGATTAGAAAGTTCCATCAAAGTGAGAAGAAATCGGCGTGAGAAACGATGTCTTTTCGTCATCTCCGCCTATGCCCCGACAGATTGCAGCCCGGATGCAATCAAGGATGAGTTTTACCACCAGTTAACTGTTCTTCTCCAGAAAGTGCGTTCGACAGATATTGTAGTACTAGCCGGAGACTTGAATGCTCAGGTCGGGCGTCTAGGCACAGAAGAGAGTCGTTTAGGTGGCCGATGGGGACTCGTTGGTCGCAGGTCAGATAACGGGGACCGTCTACTGCGGCTGTGCAGAGACCACAACCTGTTTCTTGCTAGCACTAACTTTCGGCACAGTCATCGCCGATGTGCCACCTGGCGTCCTCCCTCTGCATCTCAAGCCTGGACTCAGATTGATCACATCGCGATCAGCTACCGCTGGCGTGGTTGTGTAAAAGACTGCCGCTCCTTTTGGAGTACCTATCTGGACTCTGACCATGCCTTGGTCTGCGCCAATCTTGCCTTACTTTTCAGTGGACAACGAAGTGACCACCACCAAAAGATTGATGTTAGCAAGCTGGTTGCAACTTCTGTTGCAAGTAAGTATCGAACCGAGCTAGCCTCTAGGCTAGCTACCACTCCACCGAAAAGTATAGATGAGCATTGGTTGCAATTGCATGACGCCATGAAAATGGCGGGAACAGTCAGTTGTGGGTTTGCGAAACGTCCCGCTTTTAAGCACTGGGTTTCTTCTGGTTCCTTACAACTCATTGAAGCCCGTCGGTCTACTCCGGGTGACCGTGAGTTTGACCATAAACGAAGGAAGTTACGTGAGGAAATTGGGCAAAGCTTGCGTAAGGACCGAGAAGCCTGGTGGTCGAAGCGTGCTAATGAGCTGGAAGCAGCAGCTGCATCTGGTAACTGCCGGAAGCTCTTCCAGCTCATCCGAGCCACTGGCCGCAAGAAGTCTGGTGTGAGTGAAACAATCTGCGAGGATGATGTGATGCCAATCACTAACATCCATCGACGTCTTGGACGATGGGCAGAATTTTTCGAAGGGCAGTTCAACTGGCCTGCTGCTCCGGCAACATCGGTCAGACTGTCCTGCCCTCCATGGCCGGTGACGACTGATCCACCAAACGAGGAGGAAGTCCGCAAGGAACTCCAACTCTTGAGGCGTTACAAATCACCTGGCCCAGATGACTTACCTCCGGCTCTTTTTAAAGATGGTGGTGACTTTCTGACTAAGGAATTGACGACGTTGTTTACAAAGGTTTGGGAACTAGAGAGTGTACCAACGTCATGGAATGAGTCGATAGTTGTCCCTATCTTTAAAAAGGGTTCACGTCGTTCCTGCAACAACTATCGGGGGATAAGTCTACTTCCGATTGCATCCAAACTGTTGGCTTCCGTCATACTTCGTAGGTTGTTCAAAACCCGAGAAAGATTGACTCGCGAGGAGCAGGCTGGTTTTCGTTCTGGTCGAGGATGTATTGATCATATCTTCACCCTCCGCCAAATGTTAGAACACCGCCATACTTATCAAAGGCCAACGATCGTAGTGTTTCTTGACATCAGGGCTGCCTTCGATTCGTTGGACAGGACTGTTCTCTGGGATTGTCTATTGAAGAAGGGTGTGCTTGAGAAGTTTATTAACATCCTGAAAGCCCTATATAAAAACACCTCAGGCAGAGTGAGGGCATACAACCACCTCTCTCCATTGTTCCATTCGAGTAGTGGGGTTAGGCAGGGTTGCCCAATCTCACCATTCCTCTTCAACTTTGCCATCGATGACATTTTGAAAACAATTCTAGTGGATGTAAGTAATGGCGGTGTGGATCTGTTGCCTGGTGAATGACTTCTCGACCTTGAGTATGTGGGCGATATTGTCTTACTGTGCGATAATGCCCAAGGCATGCAATCCGCACTTAATCAGTTGGCAATCAGTGTCCGTAGTCATGGTATGTACTTTGTACCTCCGAATTGCAAAGTACTACTACAAGACTGGCAGGATTCCAATCCTGTACTCACCCTGGATGGTGAGCAGATAGAAGTAGTCGAGAAGTTCGTGTATCTGGGTAGCTGCATAAGTGCTGGTGGAGGTGTGAGTGATGAGATCAATGCACGTATAGTGAAAGCCAGAGCGGCTTATGCCAATCTGGGTCATCTTTGGTGCCTTCGTGATGTTAGTCTGGCTGTAAAAGGTCGGATCTACAACGCGTCGGTGAGAGAAGTTCTGCTCTATGCTTGTGAAACCTAGCCTCTCCGAGTTGAGGATGTTAGACGACTCTGTGTTTCATGATCGTGTCCTCCGAAGGATTGTTGACATCCAGTGGCAACACCATGTCAGTAATGCAGAAGTTCGGCATCGTGTGTTCGGGCACAGAGATGATAATTCAATTGGTGTCACCATTTTGAAACACCGACTTCGGTGGTTTGGACATGTTCTACGAATGTCGTCCCAGAGGATTTCACGTCGTGCATTATTTGCCGACTCTGGGACTGGTTGGAAGAAGCGGAGAGGTGGTCAGTGCATGACATGGTGTCGTGGTATGAAAGAAAGCTGCAAAGGACTGGCTTGTGTCGGTCCCTCACGACTCCCTGGTTGGGGTCTGAGAGATGTTGCTACACAGTGGCTAGAGAGGTTATCAGATATGGGTCAGAATAAAAGCCAGTGGCGATCCTGCTGTAACCTTCTTTTACTTTCTTCATAAAAAGTGGTTGTGTCTCCATTACCTGAAAGATTTCTTCTGATTGTACCTTTTCGTTCCCTCATTACTACCACACTACCTTACATAAATCTCTTCGTCATTGTTCTCTTTTTCTTTTGCGCTCCTTAGTTTTTTTTTCTACTTCTCTTCGAGTTCTCATTGTTTTGTGTGGCGCATATATATTGGCGCTCTCTTGTACCAATATTCATGTGTTCAAATAAATAAATAAGTCCTACTCACTACCACCTTATTGCCACAACGATGGTGCTTATGAAATTAAAGAAAGTTTGAAAACAAATATATGGAGCTCAAACCTGGTTGTTGGGTATGCAGCATACATCATGAGCAGTTAGAAAACACTGATTCCAAACCAATGGTGTACAGGCACTCCACAATCCTGACAGGATAAATGGTGTATGAACGTATCATTGATCATCTGCAAGCATGGAACTGCATCTCTCAACATCGTTTAACTACTTTGTGGATGAGACCTCTAAATGAAAGACTTGAGGTTGACCCTCTAAGAAAACCGTCTAATTCGGTTTAGGTAGCCATATACTATCACAACCTGCATGCGAATACGATGTGGCGCATATATATTTTGGTGCTATTATGTACCAATATTCATGTGTTCAAATTAATAAATTAAATAAACATTTAATGTCAAATATTACAGATATGATGGGAAGAAAAGTCAAAATTCGATTGATTTACTCATTATAAGTTTTGGTTCAACATTACTTCCGTTTTCACTCAATGTTATGATTACTCAATGTAGTATTTGTTTTCTATTCTCGTATGATATTTTTATTCTGTATAATATACGATATTCTTGTATTCCATTAACATGAACTATCCTCAGTATGTGATTTGTTATAACTCGAAGTATTTTTCATATATGTGATTTCATCCTAATTATTAATCAAAATGGGTGTATGAATCAATATATAAATTGAGTGTATTTTTGACTAGGGTCGTCGTCGTGTTTTAGGGTTAATAAATCTTCTCTTGTAGTAGTCTTTGTGTTCTTACTTTCTCGTCGTAGGAATTGCAGAGGTCCCTCGTTCCGAGTATAAGTGATAAGCGTTTCCGACACAACGATCAGCGACGACCAGATATAACAAGTAGCATTTAACTGACGAGTTATAACAATTACTACCTATTACCCTTGTCATGATTAGTATAATGACTGACAACGCTATTGAAAAGTTATATACAATCTTATTATCGATTTAAAGTCTTATTAAGTAGAGTGGTGGGGTGTTAAGATTTGAGCTAGTGATTAATATGAATTGATTCCCAGCATTGGGATAGGTTTTAGTCGAAGTGCAAACCAAGTCTGCGATTTTAAGTTGAATGTTTCCTTTTTTTTAATCTTTTTAACACACAATTCTTCATCCTACTAAGTTTGTATTGATCCTTTTTTCCTATAAAATAATAGCAAGAACGACGCCTGTTTGCTAACTTTCATCGTCAAGTATTCTGTTGGATGGATAAATGGCACGGTTGGACAATGGAAGATGTGAGAATACATGAAGAGCAAACTAAAAAGGAATTGGAAGAAGTACGTTTTTAATTATCTTTTACAGTCCTTATAATTTGGAACATGTTGATTTGTTTGATGCCAACTGAGGTAATGCTGTGTTCTGAAAGTCTTAAGATACATCAGTCTCACTCATCTTAAAATACCCCCTCCTATTTTTGCCTATCTAGTTCCCCTGTCTCCATTTCAGTCAGTTAAAATATCACTAGGATTCTTCAAAATTCAGTCTGTTTACCTGATTTGTCATCACTTAGTATTTTGTTGTCTACACATCCTTCTGGTGCGGCCCCCCTCAATACTGATTTGTATTTTGAGAATAAAAAGAAATAAAAGGGTAGTAATTGAATCGCAGGCGAAAAACTCATGGGTTGTTATTACTAAGTGTAGGCACGTTGTGGTTAATACCGAAGTTATCTTCACAGAATCTGCGTTAAATGATTCCAGCTAGTCAATTGGAAGTCCTGTATCTAGGTCTTATTCCAGTTTGCATTCACGGTTAGGACATATTTACAATGTTGAGGGAACTGATGCTGTTTATTGGATGTGATCCTGTATGACATAGATTCACAGTCTAAAACGTTACAGGTAAACTGTGATGAGCTTCCTGTGTGACTGAAATACTTACGAATGGTTGACGAATGAATAATGGTCAATATCATGCTTTTGTGATTGTTCACCGTTGATCGAATTCTATCTGTCACGTTGTAATGTGGTTGCTAGTCTAAATGACTTGACATCTCAGTTAATTGTTATTGCATTTGTCACAGTTGTAGATTTTCGATTGATACACAGTGATTGTAACTGATCAATGTGTAAATCCTTAAGATGTTGATTTTTATTTGATTTCATCGTAAGTCGAAATCCGGGCATTGTTGTGGTTCATACCTGAAAAAATTATGAATATCTTTATAATTGTTTTGTTTATTTTTTTTCCCATCCTTTTTTCACTTCAAGCAACGTATCCAAGGCAGCTTACGAGGTCATGTCACCGAAGAGTAATAGCCAATCTATTTTGTATAATAATAGCAATCATGATTATTATACTCTGAACTGTCTGCTTGTCTCTTTATTACCATTTTCTGATTGTCTAACCTTTACCTCCGACACTTCTTATAGTACAATTCAGTTCATGTTAAGGTAATTCTTCACATCTCTATTCTTTATATATTCTTTGTGAATTCAAAGGTCTCTTCTTCATTTCCTAGTTGATTTTGATGTATTTTGCCTGTTTTATTCATATATATATATATATATATATATGCATGCCAATGTTTGGAATTCTCTTCTTGTTAAGTGTAATCTTCTAAAGGAAATTGTATTCCATAAAATTTGTGTATGTATGCAAGTGAATACGTCTATTTGTCCTCCTCCTGGTGTAGTATTATCAACTATATTAAACACAATAACATTTATGATTTGTACTTATCAAATTTTCTATTTTATTAATACAAATATGTTTTCCCACTATCTGAATAAATATTATTCATATACATTATGTTACTAGATTTACTGTACAACATTATCAGTAGTAGAGTAATAGTAGTATTGGCAATAATGTTTAAAAAATCATGATACTCAGTTGTCAAGCCTTAAACTTGACAAAATGAATTTCAGTTCAACGAACTAAACCAACTAATCAGTGAATACCATACTACTACTACTACTACTACTACTCTGGATATTTGTTGATCATAACTGGTTAATCTCTATTTACTACTGAAATCACATTTTAAAAATAGAAAAATAAAGAATGGGATTTGTATTTCTCTCCTTAAACTTAATTCGTTGGCGATTCATTTAGTTTTCTTACTTTTTTTTAATCTTTGTAATATTTACTTAACTGTGATTTTTCGCTCGTCTTGTTTTTCTTTTCTCCACCAACCGTTTGTACCCATTATTATTATTATTGGAAGTAGTATTATCTTACTGTACAAGTTCCTCTTCATATACGGATATATATATATATATATATATATATATATATATATATTACACCGTCTTCAGCATAGCGGAAAGGTAACCCCACTTTCATATGTTGAGCATATACACATAGATATGTATGTTATTCTCGGTGTACACTTGCATGCATTACTACTTTTTGACAACCTCTTATTATTATCAATTATATTTCCTGATCAGGTTCAATACATATTTGTTTCTAATGAATAAATTTTTCAATCCATCATTTGTGATGATGATGATGATGATGAATTGGCAACAGCAACAGAAACAAAATAACAAAAAATGGTCTGTTTGTTTGTTTGCTTTCTTTTCTGTGTAAAAACAAACAAACAATCTCCAACAGATTTTCTTATGTTAAAATGTATATGTAAAATGAAATTATAAATATTATCTACAAATTATTTACATAACCTACATTGAAAGGAAAGGGGGGGAAGAGAGAACAATTATGTGTGTATTCATTTAGGATCAGGAATAATAATTAATGATCGCATTCAATCTATAAAGATCTTATTAATAAGATTATAGATTTATATATATATATATATATATATATATATATATACCTATGTATTCCTCAATTACCTCTCTGTTTATTCCTTGTTAACATTCCTTTCTCGTTTCTTTTTTTTTTGGTTTTTCGTTATTGTTGTGAACTTCTTTGGAGAATTTTTTTTCAAGAAACATAGCAACACCCTTCTATAATACTAATGATGATAATTAAAAGAAAAAAACAATAATAATAAACGAAATTCTATTTATCATTGCATATTTTGTAGTTAGATACTTAAAGGTAATCAACATAGAAGGTTGTATATATATTAACTTAAGTTTCATAATAGTTAGCGCCTCTCTACAATAAGATATACTTGTAATCATGTCAGATGTGAATTGTGTAAGATTTCAGTATTTATGTGTTATGTTTGTCTATTTCTCTATTTAATGATAATCAAACTCCATTAATGATCATAAGTGGTATTCTATATTAACTTGGATAAATTTTCTTTCTATTTAAAACTGTCCTGTTGTTGGTGTAGTGAAATTCTGTATCTTTGCATACATTTCATATAGTGATTATTTTGTAAGTTATGTATAGATTATCAGAAATAATTTAGAAGGAGGTCACTTAGAAAAAACGTTACTTTACTTAATTATGCCTGTTAATCTTCATCAAGGAGCATAGGCCACCAACCAACACTTTTCATCCAACCCTGTCCTGAGCCTATGCCTTCGGTCTCACGCTAACATTTAGACATTAGGCCACTGAACCGACATCCAACAGTATTAATCTACAATTTCAACCAATTTACTTTACTGCACGACCATCTAACTTTGTCTTCCGTCATTAACTGACTCACACCCGACACGATTAAACTCCATTAGTCACAGCTCCTCTATATTACTTCGAAAATTACCTCTTGAAGCTAGTCATTAGTGACTACATGATTACTATCAGCATAAGTTACTTTTATTTTTATCCCTGATAAGTTATACTGACAGTAAATAATTAGTTTCATAGTCAATTAGTTGATGAATTTATTTTCCGTGAGATAGTAAAGCTATTTCAGGTCAATTTGTGTTTCAGAGATGACTGAAGGAAGGAGCGTTCACTGCACTTATGGTATGAACTACAAACAGTTTAGTCTGTTCAACAAAAAAACTTTGTTACATTCCTGTAGAAGTAAACATTTGAAAATGTATTCATATTAATTAAGTTGAATTCATGTGTCGACCCAAGCTAGACCGTCATTGAAAACGTGGGAGTATTAGACGGAAGTTTCGTTCTAGTCCGGGACTACTCAGAAGTGCACATCCACGATCTCTCACCGAAGGAACTCGGATCCACGACCTTCGGTCAAACGCGCGAATGCCTAAGCTCCAGACCACTGAGCCGACTAGCATCCAACTTTGATTAATCCATAGTTTGCTCAATTCATTCATTGTTTGAGGTAGATACCTGGCTCTACCCACCAAGGGTTAGACAATTTTTTAAAATTCTGTATACAAAATATAATTGGTAAGTACGACTTAAAGTAATATTTGACTACTAATCTAAGTAATCCAATCCATTCGGTAAAAGTTTCCGACATATATGTAACGACCGAAATGCCAATACTCTCTTTGAATGCAGAACTAACAAACCAAAATTTATTTGATTAGACCAGACTACGTTCTTCTGTACAGCGTACAAAGCGTTTATGAGTTACTCGTATCAAATTATATCAAAACACACACTGTGCTCAATTTCAATGGTTCTAATCTAAGAAAGAGAACAAATTATATTAAAAATACCTCAAATAGTACAACCTTTGTCATACAGTCAAGGGTTTCTCTAACGCAAATCAGCATGCTGAGAATCGATAAAAATATTTCCAACACGATATCTATCAACAAGGATCCCATCAATCTTTTCAAAAAGATAAAGTGTAACAATCACATACTTGACCCCACTGTGATCTTGAGCTCGTAGCGTGACGTCGAGTCCCAGTTGACTATGAACACCACTACAAAGAAACACGTGCCAAATAAATCAAAAGGCGAATGCGGAGTAGAACCAAGTTTATTTCGCTGGCGATCTCGTGGTATCGAGCGAATACCGAGGTCGTGCCAAGAAAAGGTACAAGCGGAGTGGGCAGGAAAAAGTACGTGCGAAGAAGGTCACGAACCGCGCAACAGTAATGGAGTGTAATGGAAGCACAAAGTGTCTGTCATTAGCACAGTTAAACAAAAGCACATTAAAACAAGCACAGGTACAATTGGTTATAATAATAATAATTGTTTTCATTAAACCATTCGCGTTCTGATAAAAGTCACTACAAGCTTAATCAAACATGACCTTATTTTCAAGTAACAAAATGTAAGTAATTAACCAGTCACATAATAAAAGCTTAAACAAGAAGGATTGAAGAACACAAAGTGTAGTTAAAAGAGATCTGAATAAAGATTAAAGTACATGACGAGGAGAAGAAACAAATAAATGACAGTACTGTTCAATGAAATGTTGTGCGAGGATTTTCAACGTTTTCTCTCCATTACAATTTACATCGTTAAAAATGTAACAACTTAAAACACAATAAGACTGCGTACTGTTTTTTCTCATCGATCTATATTGAAATATTAACCTAGAACTAATCATTTCATCAAAAAACCTGATTGAAAATTAAAGAATTAATATAAAAAATAGTGGGCGGCAAAACAACGTAGTATCAGTGCTTGAAGTCACTAACTTCTAATCTGAGCCATATTGGTAGATGCAGACTACTTGGTTGTGGTCCACGTGACTATCGTAACCAATAGTTGGAGACTATGTGATATAGCTCAAGATCGATCACAATGGATTCGGTGTATACACTCTCTGTCTTCCCTTAAACTAAGAAATTAAAATCGCTTGATATCTTTCTTTCTACCAACTAATTCTTTCTTCTTGTATTATATCCTTATATGCAATCTTTCTTTTATATATTACCACCATTGAATTAACCACTTCTGTGAATCCGGTGTTCATCTTGCTGTGATAATGAGATATGGCAACTTGGACCGATTTATATATGTGCCTGGTCCTACTTTATAGCTAGCTGATTGACTGATACAAAATAGTAAACTTCCAGTTTATTGAATAAAGCTTGTCATAGTGATATAACGCATCAAGGTTATATATTAAAAATAAAAATGAATTAAACTGTATGAAAGGTTTATTCAACCAAGCTTTAAAGCTAATAGAAACCAAGAGGTACAAGATCATTGTTTCACCTCAATATTGGACTCTTCAACATAGTACATGCATGATTCTGTTGTTATCTTTGGACTGAATAGATTTCTACAAATATCTTACCTAATTATTAATTTCAATTTATAGTGGATTATATTCATGATAATTCCTAAGGCTTTGTATATCAATCGTTCTGATAACCGTTATTAAATAAATCCCAACGGTGCAAGGATTCAGTAAGCAACACAAAGCTCCAACTAAAGTTTATTATTGAATGGCACAGATCAGTAAACCACAAGTAAATTAAGCGAATAAGCATATATA